CGCTGGGCCCCCAGCCTGTTTCCTGGCAGCCCTCCCGCCCCGCCAGTCCTGAGCCGGCATCCTATCTGCCTCAGAGGCAGGTTCTCCAGCACCTCCGTGATGTGCAGCTGAGGCTGCAGCCCCAGGAGGCCCCTGCCACTGAGGCCAGGCTGCAAGAGCTGGGCCTGGCTGAGAAGGAGGACTCTGAGGAGGGGGACACTGAGGAAGAGGACGCCGAGGAAGAGGACGCCAAGGCCCTGGAGGCTAGCGGGCTGGAGCTCTCCGAGAGCGGTGAGAGCCCAGGCTGCCTCGGCGCCTGTCCCCTGACTCCTGTGTGCTGCACCCTGGCTGAGCTGCTAAGGGGGTGCTGCGGGCCATGGCCTCAAGCAAGAAGGTGGCCAGTGCACCCCTGAGGAGGTGATGCTATGATGCTGGGAGAGGCTGGTGAGGTGGGGCCTGGGTTGGAGGACCACGGCCACCCCGTGTAAGCACCAGGCACGTTCCTTGCAAAGCTGGCTCCGGTTTCCTAAAGCCCAGCATGGTCAGCTTCACAGACAGTTGCTATGAGGCACTGGTTAGAGCAGGGCTTGGTTAGAAGCTGTCTTGGCCAAGGGGCTGGGAGCAGGCTTGCTGGAGGCCAGGCAGCAGTCTGCTGTGAGGGAAGGTCAGTTTCAGGTGTGAGCTGAGGGGCCTCCAGGACCTTGAGGTGAGTGGCCAGGTGGCCGTGGGAAGTCGGGCTGTGCCTTTGAGTCGGCTCATGTGGGTGTTGCTGGTGCCTGGGGAGCTGGAAGACAGCAGAGACTTGGGACTTCTGGTCACCCACCCAGCGGGGAGGCTGGTGTGAGGGGCGTGGAGAAGAGGCCTGGTAGGGAAGGCGTGGAGTGTCCACCACCCAGGCCTACAAGCCCGACTGGAGCTTCATGGGAGGAGGCCACCGAAGGTCAAGTGGCAGGAGCCTGGCTGGAGCAAGGGCCGGGACCTGGCCGAGGTCGGTGTGGAGGGAGGGACCGAGTGCCCTGCTCTCCTGGCTGCCGTACGGAGGCTCACCTGGGGGTGGGCTTGGCTCTTCCAGAGGACGACCCCGATGGCCCGTCACTGCAGCAAGAGGACGATGAGGAGCTGTGGGCTTGCCGCGGCCGGCGGGATCTAAGCAAGGTGACGCTGGCCTCGGCTCTGTACCCCTCCACCCTGCTCCATCCCAGCACCCCCACCCTGGCTCTGGAGCCTGCACCCAGCTCTGCACCCCACTTGACCTGAGCTCACCCGCTGCCTCTGCCCTGCCTGCGGCTGTACCCACAGTGGAGCCGGCGCAACGACGTGGGAGAGACCCCGCTGCACCGAGCCTGCATTGAAGGCCAGCTGCACCGTGTCCGGAACCTCGTGAGGCAGGTGGGCCGCGGCCGAGACCTGCCTGCTCGGTGCTCTGGGAGCGGAGGGTGGAGCAGGGCCTCCCAGCCTCACTGCCAGCTTTCCGCAGATGGGGAGTGTGCTGTGGCTGGGGGCGCTGGCCCAAGGCTGAGACCCTGCAGCCCCCTCCTGCCTTAGGCCAAGCTGGGGCCCCTGACCGGGTACACTGCCCACCCTGGGGCGGGGCACCTCCTCGCTAGGCAGACCTCAGCTGGAAGAGAGGGGCCACGCTCCTTGCTTTTCTTGGTCACAGGGCCACCCCCTGAACCCACGGGACTACTGTGGCTGGACACCCCTGCACGAAGCCTGCAACTACGGGCACCTGGGTGAGTGGGAGAAGGGGCAGGGCCAAGAGGGTGGGCACTGGGCTCATGTCCCCTACCTACAGAGATCGTCCGCTTCCTGCTGGACCAGGGGGCTGCAGTGGATGACCCGGGCGGCCAGGGGTGTGAAGGCATCACCCCTCTGCATGATGCCCTCAACTGTGGCCACTTTGAGGTGGCCACACTGCTCATCCAGCGGGGGGCGTCGGTCACCCTCCGTACAAAGAAGGTGAGCGGGATGGCCTGGGTGCAGGGGCTCTGGGCAGGGCGGGGTGGCCCTCTCCTTGCTTAGCTCTGCTGTGCAGGGCCACAGCCCACTGGAGACACTGCAGCAGTGGGTGACGCTGTACAGCCAGGACCTGGACCTCGAGACGCGGCAGAAAGCTGGAGGCATGGAGAGGCTGCTCCGGGCCACTGCCTCAGGCCCAGGTAAGCAGGGCCTTCACTGTCCCTGGGCACATTGCCCTTGGCTGGGGTCCCAGACCTTGATTCTGAGGGGACAGCATCGTATGCAGGTGTGGGGGCTGGGCTCACCTCACAGTGGACTCTCTCTTACAGCTGCCCACAGCTCCCAGGACCCCCAGACCAGCCCAAGCCGTCATCTGTTTGACCCTGAGACCTCTCCTCCCTTGGTCCCGTGCCCGGAACTGCCCCCTCACGTCCCCAACCAAGCAGCACCCACTGTGGCCAGGTCACGGAGGAGCAGGCACAGGCCAGTCGATGGCAGCAGCTCAGAGAGTGAGGATAGTGGAGGCCCTCCACGGCCCTCCTGGAAAAGGCCACGGCGCTCAGTCCCAGCACAGCAGGCTGCTCACACGCCTGGCCCTGTGGGCTGCTCCCAGGGGCCTAGCCAGCCTTGGGGCTCCAGTGGCATTTCTGGGCCCCCAGCGGCCCTCATCCCTGAGGATGAGAGCCTGGCTGGGGACCGGCTGGAGTCTAGGACACCTCTGACCCACAGCTCCCAGGGCAGCAGGGATGGCAGCAGGCTCCATGTCTCAGGGCCAGACAGCAAGCAGTGCCCTGGCGGGCCCCAGGCCTGGCAGAGCCGCCTCACCCATCTCAGGAGCTGGGGTGGGCTGGCCCAAGCAGGAGGCAGCAGCATGGTCGACCCGCCCTCTGGGCGCCCCTGTGTGCCCAGGGCCTCTGAACCTAACAGGGAGGTGCCTGGGGAGACACCTGCAGCTGGCCAGCCGACGGTGGGTGTAAGCCCCAGCTCGGGCTAGGGCAGGGAGGGCTGAGGCCTTGGTCTCTAACTCAGCCCTCCTCCTCGCCCCCGTCTGCCAGGGTCCAGTCCCACCGCTCCCCATCCGGGTTCGGGTTCGAGTTCAGGATCACCTGTTCCTCATCCCTGTCCCACACGGGTAAGGCAGCGACAGCCACCAAGGGCCCCGTGCCCTGCTTTTGCACATCACACTTAGGCTCCCTTTGAGGGGTTCTGCTGCCCCCAGCTCCAGGGGACTGGTGTGGTGTGAGGGCACAGGCGGTCAGGGCGCCGCAGCCCTGGGGCAGCGGGAAGAGCCGGTGGTGCCCTGTCTGGAGGAGGCCGCCGTGAACCTGTGCAGGGTTGGGAGGGGCCGGTGACTGGCCGTGCAGGTCTGGGCTCAGCGTGCTGTGTTCTACAGCAGCGAGGCCCATTCTGTGGCCTGGCTGGCTGAGCAGGCTGCCCAGCGCTACCACCAGACCTGTGGGCTGCTGCCCAGGCTCACACTGCGGAAGGAAGGGGCCCTACTGGCCCCGCAGGACCCAATCTCCGACGTGCTGCAGAGCAATGAGGAGGTGAGCAGTGAGGGGTGCATGGCACCGGTGGCATTGGCTGAACACTGAGGGCCACTCACCAACAGTCCTTCCAGGTGTTTGCGGAAGTGACTTCGTGGGACCTGGCCCCTCTGGCCGACCGCTACCGCAGGGCCTGCCAGAGCCTGGGGCAAGGTGAGGCTGTGCCAGGAGGCTTGGGCACAGGGACTGGCCTGCAGGCTCTGGTGCCATGCTGCCCCAGTCTCTGGGCCCTGGGTGTCTTGGGTGCCCTGCCTAGCCTGCCCAGTGGGTGCTGTGTCCCGTGCTCATGTGTGTGGGTGGCCTGGCGAGTGGGGTGGAGTAAAGTAACCCAAGCCCCAGAAGTTGGGCAGGGAGGAAAGCGGGCCTTGAAACGGCAGGCCAGGGCAACAGCATGAGCTCTGCAGCACCCATGTTCAGTGGGGCCAGTGGGGAGGGCTGCCCGGTCTGCCCCCAGGATTCAGACATGCCGTCACCCATCCCAGGGGAACATCGGCAGGTGCTGCAGGCCGTGGAGCGGCAGGGCGCGGGCCCCTCCTTCAGTGCCTGCCTCCTGGCCCTGCGCCAGGCCCAGCTCGTGCCCCTGCTGCGGGCCCTCAAGCTGCACTCCGGGCTGCGAGAGCTGCACTTGGCAGGGAATCGGCTGGGGGATGGATGTGCCCCCGAGCTGCTGGCTGCCCTGGGCACCATGCCCAACCTGGTCCTGCTCGACCTCTCCTCCAACCACCTAGGCCCCGAGGGTCTGCGATCCCCACCCAGCGCGACCATCGCCAGTTGCTGCAGCCCGTGGAGCGGCAGGGCGCGGGCCCCTCCTTCAGTGCCTGCCTCCTGGCCCTGCGCCAGGCCCAGCTCGTGCCCCTGCTGCGGGCCCTCAAGCTGCACTCCGGGCTGCGAGAGCTGCACTTGGCAGGGAATCGGCTGGGGGATGGATGTGCCCCCGAGCTGCTGGCTGCCCTGGGCACCATGCCCAACCTGGTCCTGCTCGACCTCTCCTCCAACCACCTAGGCCCCGAGGGTCTGCGCCAGCTCACTGCAGGCCCCTTGGGCCAGGCTGCTCTGCAGGTGAGGCCACTGGCGGCCAGGGCAGTTGGCCGAGCTGGCATCTCACTCTGGGATGTGCCCTGAGCAAGCCTGGCCTGCGAGGGTGGCCACAGAACTATGTCTCCACAGAACTTGGAGGAGCTGGACCTGAGCATGAACCCCCTGGGGGACAGCTGCGGGCAGGCACTGGCTTCCCTCCTGCGGGCCTGCCCCTTGCTCAGCACCCTGCACCTGCAGGCCTGCGGGTTTGGCCCCAGCTTTCTGAGTCACCAGGCAGCCCTGGGTAGCGCCTTCCGAGGTGAGCCAGCCGGGACACCTTCCCAGTGACCCCAGGATTTGAGCAGAGGGTCCTGGGGTGCCTGCCTGTCCTGTTCAGGAAGGGCTGGTCTCTGTAGCACCTAGGTGGGGTGTGGCTGGACCCACCTGGGCGGACCTTCCCCAGGTCACACCCATAGGAGGCATCCTGAGGCAGTGGGCCTGCCAACACCCCACCACTCACCCTGGCCCAGGACCCTCTGGCAGTGGGTGGGAGCTGGCTCTGCCCTTCCCCAGCCAGGACAACTGGGCCAGGACCTTTGCCTTTGTCCCTGGTCCCCACACAGCTCAGGGGAATAGCGTCCTGAGGGGCCAGGAGGCTTGGGGCTCTGGGCCTGACACTCTGACTCTGGTGCAGATGCCAAGTGCCTGAAGACCCTGTCCCTGTCCTACAACACGCTGGGCACCCCCGCTCTGGACAGGGCCCTGCAGAGCCTGCCTGCCCGGGCCGTCCTGCGCCTGGAGCTCAGCTCCGTGGCAGCCAGCGAGTGTGACTCGGGCCTTGTGGAGCCCGTGGTCAGATACCTGGCCCAGGTATGAGGGCCAGGGTGGGGAAGGGACCACACTCAGGACATGGCTCCAGAGCCAGGGGTCCACTAGAGGAGGCCCTGGGGCTGACAGGCGAGCCTCTGCCCAGTCCCCCTGCACTGGCAGGCTCTGGGGAGAGCCTGAGAGGCTCTGAAGGGTTCTTTCCAGAAAGAGCAGCTGTGGAGACGCTCCGTGTCTAGCAGCCTGTCAGGGCTGAGGCCCTTGCCAGTGGGAAGGACACTTGGGACCCAGGTCGCCTCCCTACCCTCAAGCCCCCCCGTGCTTGTGGGGCCCTTTTACATGGGGCTGGTTCTGTGACTCACACCTAGGAGGTCAGGCACCTCTTCTGGTCTTCAGACTGAGGGCCAGTGTACCTTTCTGCCTCCCAGGGGCCTCTGGGTAGCAGCAGGCTCAGCCTTGGCCCTTGCCTATCCCCAGGAAGGCTGTGCCCTGGCCCACCTGAACCTGTCTGCAAACCACCTGGGTGACGTGGCTGTGAGAGACCTGAGCAGGTAACCTCCCTGCTGCCTCTGCCCTAGGCCAGGCCCCCAGGGGACTCAGAGACAGACCTGGCTCCTGGCCTTCCCTGTCTCCAGGGCTGGCCTGGTAGGCATAGTCTCCTCTTTCCTGTCACACTCCTGTAGCTTGGGGAGGCTCTGTCCTTTCCCGTCACTTCCGTGGGTCAGCCCACACAAAGGCCACTGCTCTTAGGCACCAAGAACCGTGGCTGGTGCTCAAGACAGTGTCCAGAGATGCCTGGGTCAGGTCAGGGACACCCAGGCTTGCCCATTGTCCTGACCCGTGGGCAGTGCCCACACCTACTGCCTGTGTCAGGCTGGGGCAGAGCCCACGGGGTCTGGGACTGCTTTCCCTAGTGATGGGTGAGGCCCTGCACTCTAACCCTGCCTTCTACCTACCTGTCTCAGGTGTCTCCCTCTCTGCCCCTCCCTCACCTCACTGGACCTGTCTGCCAACCCCGGGATCAGCGGCACCAGCCTGAAAGAGCTGCTGTCCAGCCTCCAGGAGCGGATGCAGGGCCTCAGCTTCCTTGGCCTGTCAGGTGAGGGCCAGGTGTGGTGGCCACCTTTTCTCAGGGACCTATGTGAGCCCAGTTCCTAAAACCGGGGCAGGGGCAAGTGGTCTGTCCTACCTGAGCCTCAGAGCTGCCACCAAGTGGGACCCCCCACAGGGCCTCACTTACTTGTTCTTGGTGGCAGGGAGAGGCACCACCCACCTGGACACCAGCCCAGACTGGCCTGAGTTGGCTTATTCTCCCTACAGCCCACCCAGACAACCCCTGACTGTTGAGGACAATGCCAGGGGCTGGCATAGAATGGCAAGTCAGAGGCCTGGTGTGTCCAGCTGGGGTCTAGGCAGTAGGTGCCACGTTGAGTGTCCAGGGAACAAGGGGAGCCCTGGACTCTTCCTATACCTCCTTTAGGAAGGCACCCTGGGAGGCAGGCTGGTGGGAGACCTGCCATCTATCTGCACCCTCATACCCAGCTCCCAGATGCCTGAGCCTGCTGGAAACTGGAGGCCTGGCAGGCAGTGCCTGCTGAGCCCTTGGGTCCATGATGGGCACATTTGCAAACAGCTCTTAAATTATGGGGGAGAGGGGACAGGTGGCATGGTGGTTAAGGGCACTAGACTCCCACATGGCCGACCACAGTTGGAGTCCTGGACCTGATGACTTGCTTTCTCACTCTAATCAAATAAAAAATGAATAGATAAATAAAAAGTTAAATAAAAATAATTGCTTAAAAATATTGGGGCCAGCAGGTGGTGTGGTTAAGACAACTGGACTCCCATATATCCGACTGAGGTTCAAGTCCTGGACCTGACAGCCTTCTCTCTCTTTCCCACGTCTCTGTTCAAATTTAAATAAATAAATAAGTTAATTAAAGTTCAATAAAATCATCCTTTAAAAAAACTATGTCCATGGTGTAGATAGGGAGATGGAGCCGCAGACGTCAGGATAGAAGAAATGGGGGCTCAGTGGGGCTGGGCCCTCTGCACCTGGGTCCTAAGCCTGCCATCCCGCTCAGACCTGCCCTGTCCTTTGCAGGCTGTGCTGTGCAGGGTCCCCTGAGCCGGGGCCTCTGGGACAAGATCTTCACACAGCTGCAGGAGCTACAGCTGAGCAACCGACACCTCTGCCCCGAGGACCGCGACCTCCTGCACCAGCTGCTGTGTAGTGGGCCGGACCCTAACGTGTGCACAGTGACCGCGGCTGCAGGCTTTTCTTCCTGTGCTTCTGACCGCCGCCCGAAACCTTAATAAACGTGGCTGCTGCCTACATTTTCTTGGCGGGACGCACCCGGCTGCGGGTTCTCATAGGCTCCTTACGTGCGCGAAGCCAGGGGAGGGCCGCGGGGGGCGGAGTCTCGGCGGGGCGGGGCTAGGGCTAGTCCGAGGGCGTCGCGCTCGGGGCGCAAACGCAGGCGTTAAGGTTGAGCGCCGAGTTGCCAATCGGAGTCGAGCAGGCGAAGGGGGAACACCGAGTCATCGGTCAGGGGCGCCGCACCCCCGGCGCCATCTCCCGGACCTGAAGAGCCCGCCCAGGTACGGGGTGCTGAGGGGAGAGGGCGGCCTGGCCGGGGTCGATAGCTCTCCCTCGACGCCCGCGGCAGAGACGAGCCCGGGGCGGGGTCACGTGGGGCGTGTCGGGATCGCTGGTTCGTGGCCGCGGGGAGCCTGTGGTCCGGCTCGCCGCTCCGTGGAGGCGTCTACCTCGGGGTCTGGGCTCCGCCGGGAGCTCGTCGGTGCGCCAGGCTCGCCGCCGCCGCCCGCTGCCCGCTGCCCTGTGCCTGCGCGCCTCGCCGAGCTGTCCTTACAGCCCGGGCACCCCTAGCCCGAGAGCGGGCCTCGTTCTTAGGCCCTTTCCTTTCCGCCCCCTGTGGGCCTGGACCTCCAAAACACCGAGGCGGGCCCTTCCCGGGGGCTCTGCTCCCTTCTTCCTGCCCACCCGGCCTCTCCCGCACGTCTGCAGCCCAGGGTGGAGGAAACCCGCGCAAGTCGGTCCTCCCAGCTCGGCTCCCGCCGGCCGCCCCTACCCGTGTCCCTCTGTAAAGGCTCTGTGTGCTGTCACTTGTGCTCACAACGCGTCCTCGCCTGCCCAGCGCTCTGAGGCAGCCCCGCACCCCTGCTCTCCACGCTGTGCAGGTCAGCGCCCAGCTCCCTCCTGCCAGCCAGGGAGCCCGTGTGTCCCTGTCCGCTGCTGCTGAGGGCCGGGAGGCTCTTCCGCAGGCCGCCAGGTCAGGGCAGCAGGGGTCACCTGTGCGCAGTGCTAGCTCTGCTTCCCAGGTCTCCTGCTGTGGCCCCCGGAGCCTGCAGGATGTTTCACGGGATCCCAGCCACTCCAGGCATGGGAGGTGAGTTTGGCCAGAGCTGGGCCAGTGCCGCTTACTGTGGGAGCATTGAGGGCCCCAAGGCAGAGCTGGGTGAGGGATGAGCAGCATTGGTGTGGCCACAATCCAAGGATCTTAGCACCCGAGTCACCAAGCCTAGGGGAGAGGTTACAAGAGCGAGGGAAGCCTCCTCTGTACCACGTGAGGCTGTAAACTAGACGCAATCACCTAGTGGGACTGTGGGAGTCAAAGAGCAACAAGGTCCCCACAAACCGATGGTTACTGTGCTGAAGCCCTCCTCCAGCTCTCTCTAGTTCTTGGGGAAGGAACTGAAATGGGCTGGAGCCAGAGCAGCCACCAGCCCTGCCCACTCTGTTGCAGCCCCTGGGAACAAGCCCGAGCTATACGAGGTGAGTGCCCGCCCAACGCGGCAGTGGCCAATAGCGAACACCCTCGCAGCGCCCTGGCCGTGGGCATCTGGCCAACCCACCTGCTTTCCCCACAGGAGGTGAAGCTGTACAAGAATGCCCGGGAGAGGGAAAAGTAGGTCCTGCCCTAGTTGGGCTGGCAGTCCCCATGCCCACCTGCTCCCCACAAAGCCGTCTCTCCCACATGCGGGTCGGGGACACGTGGGCAGGCTGGGACGGCAGACCTGGGCTGGATGGAGTCCTGCCAGCCTGCACCCAGGGCAGGAGGCCAGCTGCCTGGCCCCGGACCTGACGGCAGCTGTCCTCAGGTACGACAACATGGCTGAACTGTTTGCGGTGGTGAAGACCATGCAGGCCCTGGAGAAGGCGTACATTAAGGACTGCGTCACCCCCAACGAGTGAGGGCAGCCGCACCTCCGGACGCTGCGGGCACGGGTCCTCAGGAGCTGTCCTGCCCTGTGGGGCCTCAGGGGTCTGGGGCCCTGGCTTGGGGGCCCATCGGGGCTCACCCAGCATTACAAAGGCAGGGTAGTGAGGCCAGCCAAAAGCCCTGGAGGGGTGGTAAAGGACACACTTTTTTCCTTTAGAATTATTTTATTGAACTGTATTTATTTATTTACTCATTTTTTAATTTGACCAGAGAGGGACAGATTGAGAAAGTGGGAAAGCAAGCTGCCGGATCTGGGACTTAAACCGCGGTTGACCTTGTGGGAGTGCATCGCCCTTAACCACCATGCCACCTGCCAGCCCCTAGGACACACTTTCAAAGGGCTCCTGGAGTGTGGTCCTGGCCCTGCTTCCACTGGTCATGGATGGCCTCATTGGGGGACATCCAGTCTGCGAGGTGGTGCTGGCCACCCTCACACTTGGGGTGTACACAGGGCCGACAGCCCCACAGGCTGAGTTGTTGGTGGGGTCTAGTGGAGGGCTGGTTGCCAAGGTCCGGACGGCGGGCGGCAGGCTGGCCCTGCCCCGTGCTGGCTTGCAGGCCTAGATGTGTGGTCCGGGGCTC